TGGGAGACGCTATACGGAGGTGATGACGTGACATGGGCGCATAAACTTCTGCGAGCGGCAGTCGTGAGGCTCGCAGCCCCCCAAAGATTGCGAGGTCCCGCTCAGATCTGCGCGGTGCCTCACTCTGCTGGACTCGTAACCAGCGTTCGAACGTAGCGAAGGTTTCGCTGATCGCAGCCCCCCAGGGACGGCGACGCCCCGCTCAAATCTGCGCGGTGCCTCACCCGGCCCGACCCACCAGCAGCCCTCGAAAGTGGCGACAACTTCGCAGATCGCAGCCCCCCAGGGACGGCGAGCTACCGCTCAGATCTGCGCGGCGCCTCACTCCGCTGGAACCACCAGCAGCCCTCGAAAGCGGCGACAGTTTCGCAGATCGCTATACTGCCCCACCAAGCAGCCCTCGAAAGTGGCGACAACTTCGCTGATCGCAGCCCCCCAGGGACGGGGAGGTACCGCTCAAATCTGCGCGGTGCCTAACTCCGCCGGATCCACCAGCAGCCATCGAAAGTGGCGGCAAGTTTGCTGATCGCAGCCCCCCAGGGACGGCGAGGTCCCGCTCTGATCTGCGCGGTGCCTCACTCCGCTGGACCCACCAGCAGCCCTCGAAAATGACGACAATTTCGCAGATCGCAGCCCCCCAGGGACGGCGAGCTACCGCTCAGATCTGCGCGGTGCCTCACTCCGTTGGACGCACCAGCAGCCCTCGAAAGTGGCGACAGGTTCGCAGATCGCAGCCTCCCAGGGACAGCGAGGTGCCGCTCAGATCTGCGCGGTGCCTCACTCCGCTGGACCCACCAGCAGCCCTCGAAAGTGGTGGCAGATTCGCAGATCGCAGCCCTCCAGGGACGGCGAGGTCCCGTTCAGATCTGCGCGGTGCCTCACTCCGCTGGACCCACCAGCAGCCCTCGAAAGTGGCGACGTTTTCGCTGATCGCAGCCCCCCAAGGACGGCGAGCTACCGCTCAGATCTGCGCGGTGCCTCACTCCGCTGGAACCACCAGCAGCCCTCGAAAGTGGCGACAGGTTCGCAGATCGCAGCCCCCCAGTGACGGCGAGGTCCCGCTCAGATCTGCGCGGTGCCTCACTCCGCTGGACCCGCCAGCAGCCCTCGAAAGCGGCGACAACTTCGCAGATCGCAGCCCCCCAGGGACGGCGAGCTACCGCTCAGATCTGCGCGGTGCCTCACTCCGCTGGACCCACCAGCAGCCCTCGAAAGTGGCGACAATTTCGCTGATCGCAGCCCCCAAGGATGGCGAGGTCTAATTCTGATCCGCGGTGAATGCCCACTCTGCTGGCCTCCCCAGCAGCCCTCGAAAGTGGCGACAGGTTCGCTGATCGCAACCTCCCAGGGATGGCGAGGTCCGCACAAGGCAAGAGGAGACAAGAGGGAAGCGGGAGGAGGAGGGAGGAGGCGGGAGGCGGGAAGAGAAGCACGTTCGAGCAGCTCTAGTCAAAACGAATACCCAACCAAGCAGGGTTGGGAAAAAGACTGGCCATGCGGGCGCTTGCCCAGAAACCTGAGCCAGAATGGGCTTGGGTGTCATCGAACATATCCTGCGCCAGGCCGGCGTGAAGAAGAGCGGACCTCTGTGAACTGCAATACAACTGCTTCTGGGCAACGTCACCTCAGCCCGTTGATTCCGCATCTTGAATTCCCGAGGGTCTAGCGTCTCTGCTGTGAGTGTGCGGTCCTTGGGACCGCCTCCCGCCGACTCCATCGCTTATGGCGAGCCACGTTTGAGCTGTCGATGTTCGCCTCTGCTCCGTGTCTGTGCCCTTGCTCCGCTACCGATGCTGATCAGCGGCGTCGCCGTCAGCCTCTCGATGGTATCTTCCTGCGGGCCCTGCGCAGTCCCTGGGGGGCGCCCGCGCCTCCCTGAGCACAACTGTCAGCCAGTGAGCCTACACGGAACGCGGGTGCACGCGGAGGTTGGTGGAGGCTGCACGTTCAACAGGAGGGGAAGGGAGGGGAAGGGAGGGGAGGTGAGCGGAGGGGAAAGGAGGGGAAGGGAGAGGAAGGGAGAGCACTGGAGGGGAACGAAGGAGTATAGAGAGAGAGAGGGGGAAGGAGAGAGGGGGGGTCACAGAGAGGGAGGGGGGCAGAAGCGAGACGGCAGGCACGTCCGCTGGCCTAGGGGCCGCAGGTCGGCGGAGAGGGGGGCGCCCTTTGCGCCCGGCACGGCACGAACTGAGCCGCAGGCGCGCCCTGGCCGAGTGTGGATGTGCACAGGGCGGAGCATCGCAGCTGGCTCCAGAGAATGCAGCCATCGCGGTGCCACGAGGAGCGCTGAATAGGGGATGGACAGACCCCCCTTTAGTAAAACGTGGTTTAGTGAAAACGACCTCGGGCCCAAATCTGGCGGGCGAAAGCCTGGAAACTGACGGCCACGGCGCCCTCTCGAGAACCGAAAACGGACAATTCACTAATCGACGTGTCACTATTGGGGGTTCTGTCCAGCCCCGAGTCTTAACTGCATCGGGAGGAGGAAAGCTCAAGATCGTGGAAGGCGAGGACGGCGATCATGCTAGAGGTACCGGCGATGTCGACCGCGCTGATGGGGCCGATAGCAGTGGTGCCGCTGGCGATGGTGCCCTCGCGGACACATTTGGGGCTTCCTTGGCAGATATGACTCTGCGGCTGCTGGCCTTCACGCTACCCCTTTGTGGTGCGCAAACTCAGATATAGACCGCCAGAAGCCCAGGGAGGAGGCGCTGGGGATTCGCATTTCGGCTCGCTGCGAGCTTCTTACTGAACCATCTCGGTGGTTGCGCCCACCACGCAAGGCGAGCTGGAGAGGCAAGACAATAAAACAAGCACATAAGAAGGCCTATCCTCCACTCATAGCACATATGTTCGACGTGTCTCTGAAATGCATTGTATGACATATGGGTCAACCCCGTTGTGTCTAGTCCGTCAGACTGACGAATTAGAGAGCCGTGATTATCCCGGGTCACCATGTCACTCCCGACGGAAACCGCCAGAATAACGAGCAACTTCGAACATGACTCAATGCCATCTCCCCCCAAGGAGCAAACGCACCACCAAGCGGCGGGGGCACAGTCCGGCAGAACCAGCACTGAACCTGTGGGACCGCAACAATAGTCGAACACTTAGGCAGATCCACCTCCATACGTCGCCGTCCCTTCTCCCCCTCCTCCTCCTCCTCCTCCTCCTCCTCCTCCTCCTCCTCCTCCTCCTCCTCCTCGGATTGCTTTCTTCGTTCCCGAAGAAAGAGCTAGTGGGCCTGCATGGCTGAGCCTGTCATCCTCAGGTGAAAGAAAAATGGACGGGGACCGCCAGCAAACCTGGATGTATCGGTACGCCAGGCGGGCACGGGGACCACTGGCCCATGCAGACACAATCTTCTGAATAACCTTCTCGATTCGAAACCGAGCACACGGGAAACCGCAGCGACAGGGCAATCGGGGCAAGGGACACCACCATCATTACTTATTGGTCGAGCCTCGGCAATGCCGCTCAATCGTCAAAATCCGCCGATCCGGCGTGTGAGTTTCAAGGAGTCTCAGCTACAGCCTCGAGGCTGAGCCTCAGCCTCTGGGGGGGTTGCCGGGGTGGCTCTGCCGGGGAAGGGGGGATGGGGGGGAGGGGGGGTGCGAGTTTCCGGCGGATGCGGGGGGGCTGCTTTTACAGAAGGCTCTAATCTCGAGGATGCGCTACAAGGGTGGCCGCGGCCGCAAAAGTCTCTTAGGACGGTCTACGAAAGTCCCGAGACCCCGAAAGATCGCCCGAACGCCCCCAAGATGGCCCCAAGACGGCCCAAGAGCCTTCCAAGACGTCTGAAGAGGCCTCCAAGAGGCCTCCCACGAGGGCCCCCAGGCAAAAATCGTTGATTTCCATTGGTTTTTGTTCATGTTTTTGGGGTTGTCGCTTTTTTCGGCTTTCCGACGCTCCAAGACGGCCCAAGAGGCCCCCCAGACCGCTCGAAGACGGCCCAGGAGGCCCCCAGACAGTCCCAAGACGGCCCAAGAGGGCCCCAAGGCGGCCCAAAAGCTACCCAAGACGGCCCAAGAGGCCCCCAAGACGGCCCCAAGAGGACCCAAAAGAGGAACGAAAAGCCGAAAAAATCTAGCCTTACAGCCCACGAGGCCCCCAGGAGGCCCCAAAAGCCCCCAAGAGGGCCCCCAAAAGCCCCCAAGAAGCCCCCTCGACGCCCTGACAGGCTCCTGTGCGAGTGTCTGTGTGTGGTGCGTGTCTGCGAATGTCTGTGCGTGCTAGTGTCTGGCGTGCGCCTAGTGTGTCTCTGTATGTGTGTCTGCCGTATGTGCATTTGGTCGTGTGCGTGCGTGAGGTGTCCGCGTAATATGTGTATCCGAGCGACCCGGATCGGCGGCACTGGCCGAAGGCCACTACAATCACAATCTGCAGAGAGGGACTGCCTGGGCAGTGAAGGCAGGGTTCGATCGGGAAAAGCGGAGCTTGGCCTCAGCAGGCTGCGTGGACTGAAATGGGAGGGAACGATCGGGGGGACCGGGCTCAGGGGGGATGAGTCGAGACAGCATAGGCGATGCATCGCCGATAGATCGGCGATACGCACCCCTATAGCGAAACTGCACGCTCATGTGCCGGGTGGGCTACCAGGCCACCCACGGCGATGACTGGGCGATTCGGGATCGATGCGCTCCAACCTGAGCGCCTATCCCTCCCGCTAACCGCGGGGGGACAGGAAGGTACCGATACCGCTACTCATCGGACCTCTCCTGGGGCGCATGCTGATCAGAACTTCGAGGAGAGTACAGCCGTGGCGACGAGGGTGCACCAGGAGGAGAACGGCACCGGCATCTTATCCTTAGGTGAGGGGCAACAACAGGGGGCCGGCTCAGGGGGGGAAGCATCGAGCTGAAATCAACGATACATCGCCAATAGACGGCGATAGGCGGCAGACCTCCACGAGGAGCAGCGGCGTCGGTGTCTCTTCCTCCTCCGACCACGTTGCCCCGGCGCCAACCCGACGTCCGCGAGGGGCCAGCCGGCCGCGGGTCCTCCGGCAGCGACGAGGGCGACAGGGAGCTGGAGAGCCTGTCCAGGACCTCGGCCTGCGGGCGGTTTGGCAGACGGCACGCAATCGCTTCCATGCGCGAGGTGCGGTCAGAGGAGAACCTCGAGCTCGTCCCCATCTCTAGACTTGCTCGCGTCGGGAAACATGATGACGGCAAATGTTTGGCCGTTTTCGGTATCGGGGGGCTCTCGCCGGGTCCCGGCACGATCAAAGAACAAGTCGGGATTCTGGCGACCCCGCATTGAAAGGAACAAGACATTTAATGTCTGGGCCCCCAAGATTGACAAGCCCGAAAGGGGATGACAGTCCTCAGAATCGACATGGCTCTTCAAGATCAGGGTAGAGATAAGGTGATGCCAAGCATATGGGTAGGGATCTGCTTCAGGCTGTTAAGAAGAAATGACACCACCTGGGCCTGAGCCGAGCGGTTAAGGCAGCAGCGCAGCCCAGGGAGTCCGATCCCTCCTCTCGGAGAAGGGAATATGCATGGACGTAGGCTTTCGGAAGTCTGCATTCATGTGTTGAGTCGGCGCAACATCCCCTGGAGACGCTAGCGGCGCCGCCCCTGACGCGTTTCGCCCGCCAGAGACCAAGGTTTTTTGCCGATCCAAGATATCCGCGTGGAGCTCTAATTTTCTGCAGCGCATGCCACGCACATTTCTCTCCTACGAGGAGTAGCCAATCGCGCTCTCTTCTGCCTCCGCGTCTTACCGGATACTTGGCTTCCTGTTGCTGCAGCTGTTCCTTCGGGTGGTGCGGCAGTCATGTTCCACATAATACCAAGTCCTGCCACACCGCCCGTGTCCCTCATTTGTTTCACTCTTATATCCCCCGTCTTGCTTGGCAATGCGCTTGTTTGGCGACTTGTCCTTCACAGGATCTGGCTCTGAATTCCGCTGCGATCGGCCCTGGCGGACTCGAGCACGGCGGTGCGCCCTGATCCATGGTCTTACCTGTGTGCACGAAGACGTGCACACAGGTAATGATGGTGTCCACTTGTCCACTTGTCCACGTGTCGGCAATGAGGGTTCTGAAAAATCCCACCAGCTCTCTGGGCGTAGGTGGTTTAGGGCGTTTCCTCTTCCACCCCTCCCTCTTCCCCTTCTCCCCCATGACCCCCCCCCTGGACCCGAGCGGACCGTATCGAGGGTCGTTGGGGCGTCCAACCAGCATCGGCGAGGAAACCAAAATCACGGGTTTTACCAAGGTTTGGCCCCATGTGGGCCATTGGGGCGGGGAAGCGAATTCGAGTCCCCCACATCTTTGATCGATCTCCTCCTAAATGGCCCCGAGAGACCCACAGGAGGCCCCCAGAGGCCCCCAGATGGCCCCACGATGGCTCGAAGATGGCCCCCCAAAAAGGCCCCCAGGAGGCCCCCAAGAGGACCCTAAGCGGCCCCAAGAGCCCCCCCCGAGACGCCCAGGAGCCCCCCAAGACCGCCAAGAGAAGCCCAAGACGTCCCAAGAGGCCCCCAAAAAGTGCCAAATTGATATCCCAAGAGGCTCCGAGAGGCATCCAAGATACGTTTAGCCTTTTGATTCCCCTCCTCCTCCTCCTCCTCCTCCTCCTCCTCCTCCTCCTCCTCCTCCTCCTCCTCCTGTTACTCTTTCCTCCTCACCCTCATCCTCCTCATCATCATCATCACCATCACCATCATCAGCATCAGCAACATCGTCATCACCATCATCACAATCATCATCATCAGCAGCAACACCAGCATCATCATCAGCAGCATCATCATCATCATCACCATCATCATCGCCAGCATCAGGACCATCATCATAATCATCATCATCACCAGCATCATCATCATCATCATCATCATCATCATCATCATCATCATCATCATCATCACCATCACCATCATCATCATCATCATCATCATCATCATCATCATCATCATCATCATCATCATCATCATCATCATCATCATCATCATCATCATCATCATCATCATCATCATCATCATCATCATCATCATCATCATCATCATCATCATCATCATCATCATCATCATCATCATCATCATCATCATCATCATCATCATCATCATCATCATCATCATCATCATCATCATCATCATCATCATCATCATCATCATCATCATCATCATCATCATCATCATCATCATCATCATCATCATCATCATCATCATCATCATCATCATCATCATCATCATCATCATCATCATCATCATCATCATCATCATCATCATCATCATCATCATCATTATCATCATCATCATCATCATCATCATCATCATCATCATCATCATCATCATCATCATCATCATCATCAGCATCATCATCATCATCATCATCATCATCATCATCATCATCATCATCATCATCATCATCATCATCATCATCATAATTGTCACCATCAGCATCATCACCCGACCCATTTCCTTCTCCCCACTCCCTCGTCCATCCATCCAGCCTCCTCCTTCTGCTCCCCCCTCCTTCGCACGGTTCGGCCGTCCACCTCTTTGTTCCTGCGCTTCCTTGATCGCCTCAACTCGCCTGGACATTGTCTCTGGATGGGCTGGCGGGGATATTTTTTGGCACGCGGGCGCGCGAAGCGAGTCGCACGCCGCGCGGGCAGGGGCAGGCCGCGCCACAAGCTAAGGAAAAAACGAAGTAGCGAGCAACGCCACGCACAGAGCGGGACGGGGCTCAGCGCGGCTAAAATGGCGCGGACGGCACCGCGCAGTGCCGAACTGGATGCAGATGCAATGGAATAGCGACCCCACGGCGACGATGCATCAGCGCCACACTTACCCAGGATGTAGCACAGGACCCAGTAGGTCTCAACGAGGTAGAACGGCAGACAGACCAGCAGGAGTAGCGAAAACGCCAAGGAGACGAACAAGGACGGCGGGCGAATGGCAGTCGTGGGAGAAAACGGCATCCAGGAACCGCGTAGAACGCGCAGAAGAACGCCAACGCGTAGGAGACAAGCACCGCGAAGAAGGAACGGAGGACGGGCGGGCCGCGGCCGCTCCGGGACCTCCCGTGGATTTCAACTGCAAGGAGAAAACGGGGCTGGCCGGGCCGCAGACGCCCCGCGCCTTCCAGCGGGCAGGTCAGAGGCCCCCAGGCGAGGGCAAGCACAGGCAGACTGACTGCACATGCCGAGCAGGGAGAGGGGCCACCTCTCGCCGACAAGGAGCTGCAGCGCGACCAGATGCAGCACGTTCACGCGCTGGGCTGCCGGCGGGGCAGCTGCAAGCTCTGAGAAAAGGGCCGGGAGTGACGGAACAAGTGATGATGATGAGCGGCAGCGGATCGCTGCAAATGAACGGAGGACAGAATGGAAGGCGGCGGCAAACCCCAGGAGCAGGCGATGGCTGCAAAAGGATGGACAGTTGAACCGAGCATAAGAGAATCCCAGGAAACGAGGCGGGGAGTGATGCCAGGCCCAGGAACGCTGCTCCCCCAGGTTTCGCGGCCGCCCTGGAGCGCGGCTGCAGGCCTGGACCGCGGGCGCCTGTCTCCGCGGCGGGGCATCGCCTTCCATGCCGCTGCCATCGCCGCGCCACAGGCACCGCTCGCGCAGCCGCTCCCAATTGACCCCGAGGCGCAGCGCGTCGCCCATGGACCGAGCGCCCCCTTTGCGGTGGCGGGAGCAATCCAAGAAGCTGACGCGCGTTTGCTGGTCGCGCCGGGTCGGGCCGAGCGCCGCGCTGGAGCCCGGCGAGGCACGGTGAGGCGTGCTCGCGGGCGAACGCGCGCCAGGCGCCAGTGTACATATCGCCCCCGGGTGACTTGGAGTCGCTTGATCTCTCGCATGGGGGGGGCCCGTAGAAGCCCCACTGCGCGCCTTCGATCTTGACTTGAAAAGCTGCTTACCCGCGTCGGGATCCAGGGGTTCAGGCCGCTGGCGGATGGCGAACCACCCGCCCCCGTCGGGCGCGGCGGCTCGCTGGTTCCAGGCGTTGCTGCTGCTGCTGATGATGCCGCTGTGCTCGACGCCTGTCGTCTGTCGCCTGTCAGGCCCCGCCAGGGCGTCGACATTGCCCGGCACCAATTTCCGCCCTGCGGGCGGCGAGGGGGCCGGGGGATCGCCGGTTCTCGGGGCCAGGCCCGGCGCCCAGCCGCATCCAGGCAGACGGGCCAGCGGCCCTCGTCGCTGGGACACGCACTGTTGCGGGGGAGGGCGGCGACAGGATGGGGCGCATCCGCCCGCGCGTCGCCGCCGCGGGCTGGGGGGTCAGTCGAGGACGCGCGCGGGCGGGTGGTCGCCTGCTCCTGCTCGTCTGGCGCCCCCGGCTTCTGTTCCAACGCCTGCTGTCCCCAGGCCGTCGGCGTCGGCGTCGGCGTCGTCGGCGTCGCCGTCGTCGTCGGCGTCGGCGTCGGCGTCGGCGTCGCCGTCGGCGTCGTCGTCGGCGCCGGCGTCGTCGGCCGTCTGCCGCCTGTCAGACCCCGCCAAGCCGTCGACGTTGCCGGGCACCAGGTTCCGCCCCGCGGGCGGCGAGCGGGCTGGCGGATCGCGGGTTCCCGGGGCCAGGCCCAGTGTCAGGCAGACGCACCAGCGTCGCACGCTGGCCGCAGCGCCGCCGTTCCCCGGCGCTGACTCGCACTGTTGCAAGGGAGGGCGGCGTCAGGATGGGGCGCGTCCGTCCGCGCATCGCTGCCACGGGGCGAAAGAGTCAATGGAAATGCGCGGGCGGGTGGTCGCCTGCCCCTGCTCGCCCGGCGCACCCGGCTTCTGTTCCAACGCCCGCGCTGCCCCCAGGCCGTCGGCGTCGGCGTCGGCGTCGTCAGCGTCGTCGCCAACGTCGTCGTCGGCTTCGGCGTCGGCGTCGGCGTCAGCGCCGGCGTCGCCGACGGCGTCGGCGTCGTCGGCATTGGCGCCGTCGTCGTCGGCGGCGGCAGCGGCAGCGTCAGCGTCGGCGCAGGCGTCGGAGTCGGCGTCGGCGTCGGTGTCAATCAGCACGGGTGGCGGCAGGTCTCTGTCGAGGCACCGGCCGCGCGGGGATGGAGGGTCAATCGAGGACGTGCGCGGGTGGGCGGTCGCCTGCCCCTGCTCGTCCG